AAACATTGTCTATTTTCTAGTTCTGTGTTATTAGTTAGAAACATTGTCTATATACTAGATGTGTGTTATTAGTTAGAAACATTGTCTATATATTAGATGTGTGTTATTAGTTAGAAACACTGTCTTTACACTAGATCTGTGTTAGTTAGAAACATTGTCTATATACTAGATCTGTGTTACAAGTTAGAAACATTATCTATACACTAGATCTGTGTTAGTTAGAAACATTGTCTATACACTAGTTCTGTGTTACAAGTTAGAAACATTGTCTATATACTAGATCTGTGTTACAAGTTAGAAACAGTGTCTATTTTGAGTCAAGTTATTCTACACCTGAGGAGTGTCTCCCTGACTCATGGCAAAAGTCATCCTTGAGATGAAGCCTGAAATACACAGTATTCATTCCAGTTCCTTCCTATGCTAAACTCAAAGCCTAAAGATCAAGCATTACATTACATGAGTCTGTGTGGTCTCCATATTTGTGCTCAAACTCTAATGCAGATCCTTCTTTATTCATAGCAACTAGATCAACTAAACTTATAAAAGTTAAGTATCATTTAAACTGTTTTATATCTCCATATTTGACTTGTTAAATCTGAGGAGGAGAATTTGTCAACATCATCTAACGCCATGAAACTATGTATTTACAAAGATTATAGTAAACTGATAACATGTCTCAGGAAGAAGTGAAAGACTCGTCACAATCCAAGACTTAAATGCATATAGCACAAAGTCATTCTCCACTATGATAAAAATTTAGATTTGTGTTTTTTTTATATAAGTTTATAGTACTGATACATTCTTATCAACAAAATTAATCCAACAAGTTTTTTGTTTTTTTAAACCAATTTATAGATTAATTCCATAGATAGGCACCAAGTGAAAAGCACAAAAATTACACTTTATTTATAAAGTTCTCTAAGTAGGTCTATATGGTGCAGAGATGAGCAAGCATCGGGACAAACCTTGACATTTATGTCAGTAGCTTTCAGCTGTGTATACATAAGGATAAAAACTATTTTCTATATACTTTCTATCTTCTGAGAAAAGAGTGACCCACAATGATTAAGAAACACAAATACATAAGTAAAGTTTGTCTTCACTTAAGTTTGATTCGATCAGCTACAAGTCAACAATTGGAAATCGTGAAGCATATAAATACTAGATACATCAAGCATATAAGTACGAAAGTTAAAAAATTGGATTTCTGAACAACATATATAAGATATGTTACAAATATTTTGTTTTACTCCTCTACTAAAATCAATAGAGCAAAAATCTATAAAATATCTAACTGAATTTGCATATTTATTCATCTAAATTGTGAATATAATTTGAAGAAACTATTGTCAGATCTCTTTACTTGCATCTACATTTTAAACACTGAAAAACTTTTTTTTAAATGTTTTCCGATATCCTACTAAACATTCCCTTTCTCCATAGAATATAATTATACACTTAAGTTACTCTAGACAGAGCTATGTTATGTTCTTCTTTCTAAACAAATGAAATTATGCTTTTCCAGAGACAGTGGAGTTGAACACAATCTTGTTCAAGTAATAGCTGTGTTCATTAAACGAAAGGGGTGCAGTTGAAGTGACGGCCAAGTTGACGAAATGAAACATCACTGACTCACCTTCTGTTATTCTGTGGAGTTGAGACCTGTATATGGAGACTCAATAAAGTCAATAACAAGAAAATGTTAAAGATTACAAACACCAAGTATTCAAACATTTGCATTAATTTTTAGTCATGATCAAAATGCATTATTACTTAGTTTTAATAATTTGTAAGTTTGATTACAGAAATAATAAGTTTTGAAATTGCAGCAATACAAAAAATAAATTGGATCTTTCTGTTTATAAATAATAATAAACCATAAAATATTGAAGTTCAATAACAAAGGCAATAAGTTTTAGAATATCAAGGTTAGATGCCAGAAGTAATAAAACTTAAAACATTAAGAGTATATCCCAGTAATAATAAAACAGTTAGATTATATCCCAGAAATAATAAAACTTACAACATTAAGATTACATACCAGAATAAATAGAACTTAAAACATTAAGATTACATACCAGAAATAATAAAACTTAAAACGTTAAGAATATATCCCTGAAATAATAATAAGCTTTATAAAATGTTAAGATACAAAAACAATCAGTTTATGGTCAGAGGCTTTCAACAGTGAATACATAAAATTTAAAAGTTAGGATTAATGAGTTGTTAACAACAGTAATAATTTTATGGCTTCTGATTAATGTATTGGACTTACGTTAATTTGGAACTGGGTTATCTTGTGGATACCGTGTCCATGATATTAATTTTTCAGGAGATCTGTACAAGAAGAGTAGTTTAGCATAAAGATCTTCCTCCAGTGAAAACTCGCCACTCTCACGAACAAGATAGATGTCGAGACAGAGCTGGAGCACACGGTCCACATAAGGCATGTCACTGTAAATGATCTTGAAGCTGGTGCCTGTCACAGCACCACGAACTATTCTGGATACCACCAACACAAAGGTCGTGTATAATCCAACAATCCTAGAAAACAATAAGCAAAAGTTGTTACAACTGATGAAAAAAACACAATCCAACATTCCTAAAGCACAATAAGAAAAAGTTGTTATAACCAATGAAAACAACATAAACGTTGTGTACAATCCTACAACACAATAGGTTTTAAATCAAGTCATAAAGAACAATTAGTAAAACTTTACAGTGAATTTTTGTGAGAATTAACGAGCTGCTTTAACAATCTATCATTTTTTCTACTAATTATTCAAACAAAATTGCACGTGGACACTTCCACAGTAACAACAACTATCAACTTTACTGAGTTGAGCAAGGTTCATTGAGTGGACAGAGCTGTTGTTTACAACCATCAGCTTTACTGAGCTGAGCAAGGTTCATTGAGTGGACAGAGTTATTGTTTACAGCCATCAGCTTTACTGAGCTGAGCAAGGTTCATCAAGTGGACAGAGCTATTATTTACAACCATCACCTTTACTGAGCTGAGCAAGGTTCATCAAGTGGACAGAGCTATTATTTACAACCATCACCTTACTGAGCTGAGCAAGGTTCATCAAGTGGACAGAGCTATTATTTACAACCATCACCGTGCATATATTTCATTCATGCTTCACAGTCGACACTGCTATTTATACCATACATTTTGAGGTTCCTTTGTGATCAGAATGGTGTTATAATTGATACGATGCAGGCCTAATGGTTTTCAGGATAACTGACCTGATTTATACTTAGACTGCAATATAAAAATGAGACATGGAGACTAGTTAGCTTTACTGAGCTGAGTGAGATTCAACGAGTGGACAGAGTTGACTTTCAACAAGGTACAGAGTAGACACATGTTGTCAACATACGAACAGCCATTACCAACATTATTTTAACCAACTTAGGTTTTCTAACTAAATAATCTTTGAATTTATATGATGATTTATTATTTATAAAATCTAGCAAAGTTTTAAATCAACAAGAAAGTAAGAAACTATTACAGTTAAGGAAAAACCCAAAGAAAGACAAAACAGGATACAGCAGGTCCACTTAATTAATATGATTCCAAGGTTCACTAACTGTAAAGAAAAAACATAATGTGTAATGATGGCTTAAAAAAATGTTAAGTCATGTATTAGAAGTATATCACTTACAACATCAGCAAAATGCAAAGATTACATACCTAATGTATTTATACTACTTACAACAAAATATTACAATAAAAACTGAGAATATAAAAAAGGGGGGAATTAAAATTGTTTTCAAGTTGTTTATTATTTAAATATGAATGAAAACATAACAAAAGAAAATATATTTTAGGAATTTTGAAAGAGTATGCCACATTATAGTCATTCTAGGTTTGTGTTTAGAAAAGTATTCAACTCTAAAAAAAAAAGTAGAATGTGGAAATTCACTGAAGTATAAAAATATGTGACTTGGTTGTTACAAACCATACTCATAAATTAACTGAAGTATAAAAATATGTGACTTGGTTGTTACTACAAACCATACCCATAAATTACTGAAGTATAAGAATATGTGACTTGGTTGTTACAAACCATGCCCATAAATTCACTGAAGTATAAAAATATGTGACTTGGTTGTTACAAACCATACTCATAAATTAACTGAAGTATAAAAATATGTGACTTGGTTGTTACTACAAACCATACCCATAAATTCACTGAAGTATAGAAATATGTGACTTGGTTGTTACTACAAACCATACCCATAAATCAACTGAAGTATAAGAATATGTGACTTGGTTGTTACAAACCATACCCATATCCTGAAAGAGCAGAGAGTTCAGAGGGAAAAATTTTTTCATTGAAAGCAATCAGCTGCAAGTACTGGCAGTTTCTTGCTGAAAGAAATGAGTAGGGATAGCCAGTGCTGGTACACTCTTCCTGCACCTCCCACCACCGTGATTCAGCACTGATGTTACCAAAAGAGACATGTCTCAGACGTAGGGATAGATTTCTGAAGAGCTGCTGATCTGCATCAGGGTGGTGTTCTGAAAGTAACATCATTTAATTGGACATGTAACATAGATATGCATGTTATTTTACATATAACATAGATACACATATTATTCTATGTGTAACATAGATACACATGTTATTTTACATGTAACATAGATACACATATTATTTTATGTGTAACATAGATACACACACTATTTTACATGTAACATAGATACACACATTATTTTACCTCTATACACTCTTACAACATTCTAGTTCAATGTTTGATAACTTATGTTCTTGTTTAATGAAGGACCATTATTGCCACTCTATATAGAATGTTCTAGTATAATTTCTTATGTTGCACTGTAAGTTTGAATAAAGTTCTAAACATTCACACCAACAGTCTTAGGCCTCGACTCTACTTAAATACAAAGAATGTTATTGTTGTGGTTACAATAATGGTTATTAACAAGTACAAAAAATACCTAGACCTCAGCTTTACTTAATGTTATGGCTACAATAAAGGTTATTACCAGTACAAACAACACTAGACTTGAGTTGTACCCATTATGATGGGTACAATAAAGGTTATTTCCAGTACAAACAACACTTAGACCTGAGTTGTACCAATTGTGATGGATACAATACAGGTTATTATCAGTACAAACGATACTTAGGCCTCAGCCTTTCCTATTGTTATGGCTACAATAAAGGTTATTACCAGTATAAACAATACGTAAGCCTGAGCTGCACCTATTGTTATGGCTACAATAAAGGTTGTTACCAGTACAAACGATATTAGGCCTCAGCCTTTCCTATTGTTATGGATACAATAAAGGTTATTACCAGTACAAACAATACGTAAGCCTGAGCTGCACCTATTGTTATGGCTACAATAAAGGTTGTTACCAGTACAAACAATACGTAAGCCTGAGCTGCACCTATTGTTATGGCTACAATAAAGGTTGTTACCAGTACAAACGATACTTAGGCCTCAGCCTTTCCTATTGTTATGGATACAATAAAGGTTATTACCAGTTCAAACAATACGTAAGCCTGAGCTGCACCTATTGTTATGGCTACAATAAAGGTTGTTACGAGTAAAAACAGTACTTAGGCCTAAGTTGTACCCATTGTAATGGATACAATAAAAGTTATTATCAATAACGAACATCATGAACCATAATAGTGGTTCATAATAGGTTATTGCTCATGAATTTCACAAAAATTCTAATAGAACATATTGGCAAAAACCATCTTAAAAAGCAGACTTGTTCTTGAAACAAGACTCAAGACCTTCTATCTCAATGACTAAGGCTGTTAAAATATTGATAACAGCAAAAAAATTGATTTTCTGATTGCTAGACAAAATTCAAAATTCATCCATTTGTTCTTCATATTATTCTTTTTTCACAAACCTTAAAAAATGACTATGAATATTTTACCTACTAAAAAACTCCTTTGCAGGTCATAGGACTGTTTTTATGTGGATTCTTGAAAGAAAAGAAGAAAGAGATTTTCTGTTTTTTCATCGCTACTGGCCAAGTTTCTCTCCAAAGCCATTCAAGCACCAAAGTCTACAACAAATAAGGCTAGGTATACTGTGTAAAAATCTATGCACAGCTACTAAACAAACTCCTGCAAAGGTTATAGGGCTATTTTTAAGTTGATTCTTGAAATTCGAGATGTCTACCCTCTAAAATATTTGCTACCAACATAAGCTCTTCAAAGCCATTCAAACATCACAGAAATGTAGAAGCCATTTAAGCACCGTTATACTAGTCAGAAACGCTTCATTTTATTAGAGTATACAATGTGTATATTTATAACAATGTTTCCAGCCATATTATTATTATTATTGATTATATTTCTTATAAGCTGCTACAGATAAAATGGCTACAAATACTTTACTGAAACCTGGACAATAGTAATAAACGCAGTATTGAGTATCATAGGGTAGTTTTTAAAATTAATTTAAATGCCTTCATTTTGACACCCTGAAGAACTTCACTTTCCACCATAGAAAAAAATCAGTTCAGTGTTTTACTAATGCACATTAATTGGAAAATAATTTGTGTAAATTATAGCCTATTAATTGGAAACTGCTACATTGAGGCTTCATCAATTTTCGAGATCATTGTTCTTCATTGTTTCTCGAGTTCGCTCTTGTACTTTGTCTCTATGGGTTTCTGCAACTATTTCACTGATTTTTCTAACAGTAGACGATTACCACAGTAGATTACTCTTGTGAGTGGTGATATTCTACTGATTTTCATACTTTGCCAAAATTGTGAGTGTGTATTTTAGTATTATTTTATTGTTATTCATAGTTTTGTTTCCCAAGCCTACAGCAAAATAAGCTGAACATTTTGCAACAAAATCTAAACAGATATACTATATGAAACACTGTGAATGTCCCTGATCTATTTATAAAGTTGATTATTTTTCATTGAAAGTTGATTTCTGTAGCCATAAATACATAATATATGCGATGTTGTTGTGAGCAGATTCCTTTGCACTCGATGCTTGTTGAATGATTGTTCACACGAAGCCTCAAGCACAAAACCATCTGACTGAGTATATAATGGTTGGGTGGAAAAAAAAAGCCAATGCAGCAGTAAGCTATTGAAAAACATGTAACATTCAACTGAACGCATATGCACATTAGTGTCTACATTATTTTCTCAAGCTACAAATTCCTATTTTGATTCCACTAAAATTGATAAGTACTGCAGACATGGAGTCAAAATATGGATTTGTAGCTTGAGAAAATAATATAGACACTATTTCAGGCCTAGTTTGTTTACTTATTTTAGAGTCCTTAGTTGTATGTTTGAAGATATAATCTTTGAATTTTGATTCAACTTGTTTCTGTACTTTTTTGACGATCCCTATTCAATTAATTAAATTAACAATTTTTAATTATCTTTTACTCATACGACTACTAAGTATTACAAATGAAAAATCTTTGAGAATCATAATGACTGTAAGAACACACAATTATATTATTGAGCACCCAAGTTTTGTTTTACATTTGATAAGACTACTGACTATTTAGGTGAATTATATAAGTAACTTTAAAAGTTTACAACAACTGATCAAAAGAGTTTGGAAGAAAAACATTTATTCATTCTTATGATGAATTGATCATACACATGTGCTGATTTTTATATTTGATTCCAATCTTTTATAAATGAATATAAATTACCATGTAAATCTAATAACTGTCTAATTAAACTGAGTTCATCGACAAATCACAAGTTGTTTGAACATTGATATAGAGGATGTTTTGTTGGGTATTATGAAAATCCAAAACCATACAGTTAACCCTTCTGAGATGTATTTATGTACAAAATTTAAAAATTTTTTAACTGATGATTTCTTAGTTTTACAGGTATTAAAGTTTGAAAAATCTAAAAATAATTACAAGACAAGTTAAACTTGAATTTTGACTTAGACCACCAAGCTGTTTCAACTCACCACTACTACTGACTAAGTCTTTGATAGGGGAAGGCTGACCTCGACCAGGAACTTTCAAGTACTTAGGAAACAGATATGGAAGTTTTATTTCATGTACATTGCTCCTACCATTCAGCATTTCAGCCAGCTTCTCTCGAAGCTCTCCATGTTCGATATTATTCAATTTAATAATATGTTCATTATGAACAGTCTTCTCTATATCTGAAGGCTTGGATTCTCTGGAAAATGACCAAGCTAGCTTCACATTCAACTCAGTTTCATTAGACAACAATTCAGCGATAAGAGCAAACTGACTAGGAGGGCTTATGCCCCACACTGAAGTAGAATTTCCATTTAGTTCAATCAAAGTAACATCTCTGACATCATAGTTAGCAAGAAAAGACTGTGCAGATGAATCTGATCGATAGTAATACAGCATTTTATCCCAATCATTTTGTGTAAAGGGCTTTAGTGAACTTCGCTGGGCACTCATTTTAAAAATAGGTTCATAGCCTTCAACAGTAATCTCGACTGTACAATCGTATGGAGTATTTGGCAACCTCACAGTGTTGCCTAGGGCAAACAGCAACAAAGGGAACCAAATAATTAGGATAATAAGGAACAAAAGTAGACCTCCTACTCCATACTTAATTAAGGCAGCACGCTTAACTCCTCGTGGGGTAGGGTATTCAGCTTCCACTCGACGAATACACTTCAAGAGATAAATGTTTGTGAAAATATCTTCCATCTTCAACCAGTTGCTCACATTCAAGCTGGTGTCTGTCCAGATCCAGTCCATCAGCGAGCGAAGTTCATATAAAAAGGGAATCATCATGTAACTGGAAAGTAAGTAATGATACATTTAAAAAAATCTAAAATATCTAATCTTATTTACAAAATGTTACTCCTCCTTTTTTAGTTATAGTTTTAGTTTTAGTTTTAAGCACCTATGACTTATTATTAAATACTTCTGATCAAGGCAAATTACCTACATGGAAGTTGAAATTAACTCAGTGAATAGTGTGCTGTTTCATTAGTTTGATACCCTCACTGTCATCAATATTTTCAGATGTAATGGATGATTCTGCTACAAGTATCTGCATTATTAAACAACAATAAAAACTATCATCAGAAGTTAAATAATCATAGTTTGTTAAATTCAGCAAGATACGTGACTCTTAGTGTGCTGTTTCATTAGTTTGTTACCCTCACTGTCATCAATATTTTCAGATATAATGGATGGTTCTGCTACAAGTATCTGCATTATTAAACAACAATAAAAAACTATCATCAGAAGTTAACTAATCATAGTTTGTTAAATTCAGCAAGATACGTGACTCTTAGCTTCTTTAATTGTAGAAATAACATGAATATTAATGAAATAGGAGAAATACTTCCTGAAACAAATAACCTTACCACAAATCAGTATTAATATCTATAAAGTTTTCTGAATTTATGACTACTCTATATGTAATATGACCTACTATACATGTCAGTAGATGTTCCATAACATAAAATGTTTATTGTTAAAGACTCATAAGCAGTAATACTACATACATTTAGAAAGATTGCCATATTTAAACTTGTACAAAAGTAACAACTTTGTAATATAAACAAGACATCTTTCAAAGAATACAGGGGTTTCAATTGAATATTTACCCTTTGAAGAGGAAGTAATTAATGTAGTTGTATTCCTTGCAGAAGAGAATTCCAAGAATACGTGTTGGATAACCAGACCGGATCTGATAAGCTGACAGCAAGAGATAGATACACTTGATAAAGTACCACAGTTTTGGAGGGAGTCTGGTAGGACTTGTGAATTCTCTGCAGAAATGAAAAAAAACAGAATGAAAGATAATTAAAAGCAACACAACATTAAAATTATTACACAATAAATAGCTATTAAAAACAAGGACTTGCCCTAAAAAAGACTACATATGTTTCAGGTCCTATGACACCATCTTCAAGAGTAACGGTAAAGACATGGTGAGGACTTGTATACCCACATAATCATTTACATACCAATAATGCCATCTAGACTAAAACTATTCAGAGTTACAATACATCTGTAGAGTACTTTATTATTTCTATACCTGGACAACTTCCTTGTTTAACACCATATCTTTTGTTTTTTCAATTTCAATAGTTTCTCTGATATTTAATTTAATTTTAAATTCTACCTGTTTTATAGACTGGAGTAACACCAAGTTGAAACATATGTAGTCTTTTTTGGCAAGTCCCTGTTATTAATAACTATTTTGTGTAATGATTTTAATGTTGTATTGTTTTTATTTGTAAATAGATGTTTTACACAAGTGTCATTTAAAATGATTTAGAATGAAAGATAATTTTAGCACTAGTTTTTCCACTGATTTGGCTTTTGTTAGAAATTATGCTAAAGTAATTCCATTGAGTTATCATAGCATTTAATCCATTTTAATAATTTTCATAAAACAATAGATAAAATGTTCGTGTTGAACTGTTATAAAATGTTTGTGTTGAACTGTTATAAAATGTTCGTGTTGAACTGTTATAAAATGTTTGTGTTGAACTGTTATAAAAT